TTAAACTAAATTAATAGCTGTTAATAGTTAGGTAAGTTAACCTATACTAATTTAGTATAGGCTATATTTTATTTATTAAGCTATATAGTAAAATCTTTCTTAGTAGTTAAGGCTTTTTACTAGGCTTTTACTAACACTTTACTATACTTATTATAGATATACTTTATATATTTTTCTTTAGTTATTTTTACTACTACGCTAAGCTTATTAAGCTATTTAGCTAGTAAATTAGTAAATTTATAGTACTTTTCTTAAAGATTAGTAAATATAGTAGATTTAACTACGTTAGCTATATCTTTAACGTCTTTTTACTAAGTAGTATACTCTTGTATTTCTTTATAATAGTAGCTTATCTAGCTATTTAGATACACTAGGCTATATAGGCTAAGATTATCTAGTGTTATAGCGTATTTAGTTTTATATATAAGCCTATTAGGTATAGCTATAATAGCCTTACTTCTTACTATATATAGCTATATATATACTATACTAGATATCCCCTTAATTACTACTACTACAGCAGTATTTTAGTAAGTAGTAAGCTTAGCCTAAGTTAATATATATAGATAACGTGTTATAAGTAGCTTTATTAGTTTCCTTAGATATATATTAAGGATTAATTAGTTTACTACTATAACGTCTAGGTTAATATATTCCTAGAGATTATAGCGCTTTACTTTTCTTTAAATAGTGTTAAGCTATATAAACTAATTACTATATAATTATAAAATAGTTACCTTATTATTATTATTCTTATTAATTATTATAATAATATTAATTAATAAATAGGTATATTAGTTATTATAGATATATATATTAGACTATTAATTATTAAATTATAGAGATTATAATAGTTAATTAATTAATTATATATTATATTATATATATCTATTTAAAATCCTATAGAAGCAAGGAAATCCCCCTATTTCTTAGTCGGGAAATCCTAGAGAAATCCTAGCTATATAATTAGTAGATTTACCCTAAAAGTGGGGCCCTTTTAGTGCCTATTCCCTAACAATTCGCCGTAGGGCAACCGTACATTTGCCAGTTAATTCACATGTAATTCCGCCATATTTAACAGTTATATATATCTTTAAAATCCCGCAGGAACAGGGAAATCCCCCTATTTCTTGGTTAGGAAATCCCGGAGAAATCCTGGCCATATGATTAGTGGAAATCACCCTGAAAGTGGGGCCCTTTCACCGCCCATTCCCCGACAATTCGCCGTAGGGCAACCGTGCATTCGCCGGTTAATTCACGTGTAATTCCGCCACATTTAACACCTTGTGCTACAAGATAGACATAACGGGTATTAAATAATATCATTATTATTATCATTATCCCTATGACTGTGAGTTATGACCGTCTTAACCTGAGATTCCTTTTATTTAAAATGCTGATGTTCTGCTTTTGAATCTACGGTATAGCTAATCTACGGGAGACAGGGGAGGGTAGGTTTATGACGCCACAGGATAGACGGGTACTCAGATGTATAGGTCGATACGTTCTAGGCTTACCTGCTGTCTAAGGTGTTAGGAGACATAAAACCTTGACGGCAAAGTTGGCAACGGTACTCCTGGCTATAGAATATTCAAAGAACACCCGAATCCACAGGAGCACAATTGGCTACGTCGCCTTTTCCCATTCTACTGGCCAGGGAAGCGGCGTGGTGGTTGCCAGTCCTCCAATCGCTACGGGGTGACGACTTTAGGCTTGACGCCCTTATCATGAACGGTCGCCTCGACGTCAATGGGGAAACATGCGATTGGCTGCAGCGGTATTCAACGAGAGATTAGCGCTGGAGGGTGACGGGAGAGGGACAGCATACTGCCAATCATCACGGGCTTAGAAGATGGTTGCGTACTGGGGCGTGCAGTAACCAAACGTCTAGGGGTTCAGCCTATGAAGTATCCTTAATATATGCGCAGGTAGTGAATGATGGCGTTGCGGTGACTAATGGGGTTATATTGTATTAAGTTAAGTGAGAGTTGTGACTACACCTGTAGGCGAACGTTGTGTTGTGAAAAGTCTAACTGAGCTTTATCACCACCTCCCCAGAACTCCTATGTACTCTCCACTTAAACCCTAGGTTAATATAGGCTTTAGGTGAAGTAATAACAGAGAAGGCAAGAGGAAGAATGCTGATATGCTATTGCTGCTTATTACCTGTGATGGATTCTCTTATGGAAACATGATGAAGTTGATCTAGATAACACAAGGTGTGACGGTTAGGTGTACTTGACTTTGGTATCTTTTGGACAAGTCATAGACGAGAAGGCTATTTAGGCTGCTTACAAGAGGTTATAAGTAAGGAATAATGCAGGGCCCGTCACTTGGGCCGACTGGTGGCCTCGGGGGGAAGGCTGTCGCAATAAGCTTGCAAGGTTGCCGTATCTCTGAGAAGCTGTAGGTTCGTGGCGTTGGATATTTATTAGGTGTAACAATAGTTTTTATTGACTTTAAATGATGGTGGGAAGGAAGCAGGTGTGTCCCAAGGTGGGAAGATGGATGAGTCCCATCAGAGCCCCAGGGCTTTACGCCAAGTACCAACCTACCGTATCTACACAGCTTGAATTTCAATCACTTAATATTGACCGGTACACTGGGAATTGATCTTATCTGCTTCTCGGTCTAATTAGCACTCTTCTAATGTTAACCTAGCTTGTCTTCTCTGTCCCTAGCCTCTATGGGAAGAATGTACACAACTCTAGCTACAACAACTCGAGTGTAGGAGTATTGGGGGCATATAAGCTTAGTTGTTTGTGTAATAGGGCCAAGCGTTTCCCGTCCCAACAAGGCTTCCTTAAGGAAGATTCAGGCATTCCAAGAAGGGGTATTTCGCGCGTATGATGTCCCTTCATCAATGTTGTTCTTATCATACTTGGAGTAGCTATCTTTGTAGGACTACAGAGGGCGTATCCACACACATCTACTTGGTAGATACAAGTACTGTGTTAACGTAAGTAACCTTTTGACATTTTTACTATCAGTCAATGCAACCAACCATCAGCTAACAGAGAACTTGGTCTGAAGCGGCTCCGGGGCAACTGACTCCTAGCAAAAGAGGCCAGTATCACAAATCTTTGGGAGCCGCCGCCTCCCATCTGCTTCTGTTTCATTAAAATGTGTTGCAATGTCCCCTGCCTTTCATTATTATGGTACATACCCTTCTTGGTGTGCGTTCCTAAAGTAACCGACTAAGCCTTTTATTCACTAACAGGCTTGATGCGTTGAATAATCCGCCGGCGAAAACAAAGCTTTAAATAAACGCAACTTTGTGAGTTAGTACTTGATCGCTAGAACCGACACTAAATCCCCGGTTCCTAGTTCTCACACTTTCAGGCTATCTAACATAGACAGGATAGGTAATACTGGTTGACGTGCTGCCTGCCACAAGATCACTTGTCATGGTTCTGAAGCAGCCTCTCGCGACGTTAACAACAAAAGTGTAGTCAACAACGCCGTTAGATTAAGTCCTTAGCTTCTCTAAACCTGATGACGGTGTCCGCCCGGCTTATCAACGCCACATATGACAAGTTCCAAGCGGCAGCAAACGACCGGGGCTGACGGGATAGAAGGGGGGGTAGTAGCGGCTTAGATGCCTAAAGCAGAGATGATGTAGATAGAAGCTCAAGAATAACACGGATGACTTTGAAAAGTCATGTTCGTCACTATCACTGGCGGAGAGAGGGTAAGGGGGAGAGAAAGGGGAGAAGCGGCCAAGTGCGACGGAGAACTTTGACGAGGACTTCTCCGGCCGGCTGTTAGTGGTTCAAACCAGGATGGTGTGCAAGATCAGGCCGAAGACGAGTGCAGACGTACCAGATGCGTATCTGGACCCAAGCACTCTCATACCTATGTAATGAAAAAGCAATGGATTTTATGAGTGCAACTATACCATCTCTTTTCTTCTCTGCTGTCATCCCGCCGTCCTTCGTCCGTTTGTCTCATCTCCTCACGTTCTCTAACTCCACGTATGTTAGCCCAGCGAAAGATGCTCCATACACAAACAGGCCAGAGCCCGTATCACTAAGATGTATATATATAGTGGATAATCTTGAGTAGTAAGTAGAGTTGGTGATTTAGAAAGCGAGGTGTAGATAGTGTTGGTTCTAATAGCTTCACCTCCTGCACAGTGCATTCTAGTTACGCTGAGTGAATACACACAATACGATCCATCAGCAGCATGTATAAATGCATCTTTTCAGTGAGACGACAATCTTGCGCTTCGCTAGACACTTACAAGTACTTATAGTGCAGTATTAAAGCCCTGGCCACGGCTGCTAAGCGTCCGCGACGCGAAATTGCCATCGGTACTAACATCCGTAGAGACACGCAATCGGTTCTTCTGCCGAGCCATCACTTTCCTTTTTATAGGATATCTAGAGATAGTTGGCTGACGAGGTTCTTAAAACATAACCAAAAGGGTTGTTTACGTTCCGCATGAAAGGGAACCTAGTGTCCTGGGGATGTATAGAAGTCCGCTGTCTAAGTAAGTGTTCGACTTGCTCTAGGCAACATGAATTAATCATTAACCAAGTACCTTTGAAGAATGAAGTGCAAAGAAAGTCACCAGGTTGTTTAAACAAGATGCCCAAACGCCGTCGCAAAATGTTACAGCATTGTCACGCTCAGCCTGTAACTCTCAGTCACTATCAGTAACAACCACCTGTTCCACCTGTCAACATGACTTTCATAAAACTAGGGACAATGTAGAAGCCCAAGAGTACACGTAGAGCTGCCCGTCATGTCTCGGAGTCTGTTCCTTCATCTTGCGACCAAGTTGAAAAAGCCAGACTTGTCACCTAGGGTCTAGGCCCTCCTTGATCCTCTTCCTCTCCTCCAACACTTGTGTCAACATCAACCACCCATCAACAGACAGCATGTCATATTCTCTAACCTTGGCTATTCTCACCAATGTTATGGCGCCGCTATCCGATATTAATCGAATCTCCCGTTCTCCCATGTGCGGCGGCGGCACTATAGTCTGGACACACGTCTCATGCTTTTGGCCGCTTCGCGTATGCAGACGCCTCGGCCCGTAGGGCGGCCGCCTCAGCCATATTATTAGCTATGAATATGACACGATCGATGCTAACAATGGTTGTAGTGGTCGAGGTACTGTCGTCTTCTTGACCTACGGTGATGTTGGTACGCGTCGTCTTCCATGCGCCATCATCGTCTGCCGCTGAGGCATCCACCCGGGCCTTTTGAACCGCAGCCTTGTTGCATGCCTCCGCCATCTCGACAGCGGCTTCGCCCAGCCTTCTGATGAGCGACGTCACCGGCTCGTTGGCCACCAAGTGGCGTCGGTTTCGTCCTTTTCATTGTCTGGTTCCGTTCCAGGGGCTACTGATGGCAGAGTGATGGCCTCAAGCATTTGTCTAGTTCGGCGATAGCAGCATGAATGGCGAGGCTGTTTGAAATATGGGATCAGAAGTAAATCGCCAAGAGAACACAGCTACACTGAGGCTGCTGGCCGTTATGTTGTTGCAAGTATGCTGTTATTCTTGTTGACCTTGGTCATGAGAGACGGCGGATGATGGAGGAGGAGGACGTGATGGTAGTCTGGGCGTGGGATAGAGGCGGCACGAAGCAAGTCAAGGAGCGCGGCTTGGGTTCAGGATGCCTATCTATTACGCGCGGGTAATAGCCGTACAATTGGCACTAGCCTTGGTGGCGTCATTTAGTAACAATGTAGTAAAGAGGAGGTTTATGTTTATTGAACGGTTGGGGTTTGTAGTAAGCAGTTGGTGCCAGGGGAAGATGGCGTTGTGTATGCAGATCTGGACTGAATAACAGAGGAGTCTGATGTCAGCGTCTAGGTTCTCTGACATATTCTTAGCAGCAGCAGCAGCAGTATCAATGGGCTGAGAGGCCATGTAGGCTGAGGCGTCCTGGCACGTATAGCCAGCAACACGGTCAAGCCCTCTGAGGAGCGGCGGCAGCCACTCATTGGCGAGAGCGTTGGGGGGTTGAGTCGAGAGCGAAAATCGCTTAATTTCGATAGGTAGGTGCTTGTGACGGAGGTTGATAGGCTCAATCGAGGTTTGTTCATTGTGGACGAGATAGATTGAAGAAGGGGGGGCATGGCCGGCAATGCTGCTGTTGGCGGTGATGACAAGGGTTGCTTGGGAGGTTGACAACGAGAAGAGGGAAGAAGAGATGTAAGGTGAAGCGAAGCCTAGTAGGTAGTAGACAACAAGATTGATGAGGAGGAAGGCGGCAGAGGGTATGAAAAGCAGCAATAGGACAGATGGTGATGATAGCTTGGGCCTAGTATCTTTGGCATCGGTCAGGTAGAGGAGTTATGGCAGTTCGTAGAAGGGCGGCGGCGGCGTCTTCAACAAGGGTGCCGGCTTATATCGATATAAGACAACACTGCTGGCGTTGGATATGATGGAGGACGTGGATAAGACGGGAGAGGAAGAGGAGGAGTACAAGTGCAGGGAGATGGGGTCGGGCGTGCCGGCAAAGTCGGCATGGAAGCAGAGCTCAAAACTCTGGACACGGGACTCGATTTGGCCTTCGTTATCGCCATCATGGTTTTCTGGCGAGAGTGGGAACGAGGTAGAAGACAGAAGAGGACAACATGAAGACAGAAGAGACTGGCGGAGGCCTGGAAAGCGAATCGAGAGGCGGATGACGCTGAAGTGCTCGGCCAAGTGGATAGAGATGAGCAGACTGCGATAAGTAGTCGAAGACAAGCACGACAATTCCATTGTCTTCTGTCTGTCTGTCTGTCTGGTGATAAGAAGGCCATTTATCACCATGTTAAGAGGGCCAACGAGACCGCACATGAAGCGAGGGCGCGTTCCAAAGATTACATACTGTTGGGTTGGACACGTGTTGTCATCTCCTTTTTGCGCTGTTGTCAAGGTAACAACGAGGTACGAGTGCCCGCTTGGTATGATGAAGAACGTGGGGGCAACACTGTTGATGGCGTTTCCCTTTGTTTATTGGTAGTAAAGAAGCACCGTTATCGTTACACAAGTAATCAATAAACCCTGATGCTCAACACGCACGGCCCGTCTGCGCGCTTATGGGGGGAATTACTTGGTTTGCAATCAGACAGATGGACATACAGACAGACAACAAGTCTATTGAAAGGGGCTACCTAGAATGAAACGAAACCAGGCTGTTGTCTTAATATGGAGCTAACTTGCAACATCTTACAACCCAGATCCCTGCTTCTCTTCTTTGTGAGCTGGATGATGGATGTGCCTGTACCAGTCTAGCCAGGTCTGCCGCTTACTGTGTGTCATGGCACGTCGAGGCCCACTGCTATTGGTTGACGCGGGCTTAAAAACATGATGGAGCGGTGCTGGCTGCGTTGTAGGAGCCGGCTTTTATGACAAAGGCATCTATCTCGACCGTTGGGCCTAAGTCCAAGAACCAGGAACAGCAGGGTTCTCGTCCGTCGGCGTGTTGTCGCCTTGGATGGACCTGGAGCTGGGCTGATGGCTGTCAATAGGCACCACTACTGTCTCTGTCTCTGGTAGCATGGGCTTGGTATCAGCATGGGCTGTAGCTTGTCTGGTACTAGTATTGACCTGGATGTCTTTGGCTCCCTATGGGCTGTCTTGAACATGTTACTCTCCTTGTCATCCAACTCCTTGCGCTACTTCTTTGAATTGGTGGATATCCAAGCCTTAAATTGGCCACGGCTGTTCCATGTGGGGATCCAGGCTTCTTCGCCAGCCTTGCCCTTATCCCTCCATCCGTAGTACTTAAGCATCTTGTGCACAGGTTTGACATAGTCAACATGTTTGGCTAACCCCTCGGGGTCGTCGGTGCGCATGAGCTCGTCGCATCGTCGTCGGACCTGCCGGCAGCAGAGCCTGCGGTTGACCTTCTTGCTAAAGTCAAGGGGCTCTGGGGTCAACGGCAGTGCCATGGTCGCGTGGGATAACTGATAGGGCGCTGCCTGTCAGAATCAAGCATGAAGTGTCGTATGGGTTTACCGGGCTTATAATCAAAGTAATGAAGCACCCGCCGGCTCGCTGGCTGTATAATATTTAGGGACTTGTGAGCAAGCAACCAACTAGTTCTTTTCCGTTATAAGACGTGTCCTTAGCTCCTGTAACACAACTGAAATGGAGATTCGTTTTTGTGTTAATGCAGCAGTAGTAGATGTTCTCAGCGCTAGCTAGTAGCATAGGGACAAATGTAAAAACAGGTCAAATGAAAAGAAACGGATGGCCCACTACTAGATAAGAGAGGAAGAGAAATGAATGAGAAGAGGCACAAGAGAGAGAGAGAGAGAGAGAGAGAGAGAGAGAGAGAGAGAGAGAGAGAGAGAGAGAGAGAGAGGGAGAGAGAGAGAGAGAGAGAGAAAGTGGCTTAATCACTAAGATAGATATTAGGAAAAACCTAATTTAATCTATCTACACTTAACAGTTTTTCCTGTTATACTTATCTGTCTAAAGCAGACCAGACTGTGCATTTTGATAAAGGAACTTAATGAAATAGAACATAAAGAAATTCTAATTCTAGATGAACCCTAGGCATATTTATAGCTATTTCTAGTTACCTTTTGCTGTTTGTTTAATATATATATAACAGCTGGAACTATAAGGAATACCAGCTGGATTATTATAGGATATAAAACAAAACCCCTGTTGCCGTCCTGGGACAGGAAACCCCTGTGCAAACACCATACCCTTCCATCGAATCAAGGACTTGCCTACCAGCCCGTTTCCTCCCAATAAGACCTACAGAAGCCGTCCACAGTCCCGGCCCGGTCCTTCCACGTCGCCTTAGGTCCGAGCCAGGGCTGTACGTAGCAGAGGAATTCGCCCCATGCCGTGTCGTCAAGCAGCATGTCGGTCACGAGAATGCTGGCCCGGATGACACGGCTAGCTTCGGCATCTCCACCTTTGTAGCGGCTCCAGAGCGGTGCCCGTACCGTCTCGCCGCTGCCAGGACTACGTTGTCCACACTCTCCCCTAGAACGGTCGCTACATAGCGGGGCCGGAAGGCATCCTTGTCCCCAAGGTTTAGTAGTCCGAGGGACGTAGGCGTCATACCTGGGTGGACAGCCTTGATATGACGGAGGCTGATGAGGGTGCTGCAGACCTTTTGAATAGGAGCTTCAGTTGGTGACGGTGCAGGAGGACTGGACAGTCCGGAAAGATGGACGACCAGGTGGCCAGCACCTGCAGCCCCGGCGAGAACCCAGTGCAGGCTTGCGAGAAGAGATGACGACGACGATGACTATCTTTTGGGACGGCAATGTTCCATGTTTACACACAGCGTGAAGAAAAAGTGCGTACACGAGAGAAAGATAGGCTTAATAATGCTTTGTTGGCTTGCGGCTGCTCTGCTTTGCCAAGGCACTAGAAGCTCTTGATCTATACGCAGCCAGAAAAGAGAACAAGAGAAGACAAGACGAGAGAAGAAACTGAGCGAAACAACCTCTAACACATTATTTTCTTGATTACAAGTACACATAGGGCGCTGGCTAGGTGACGTGTCATGAACAACAGGCTGTTTCACGAACATGGCTGACCCTCACCGATAAGTCGCAATACTTAATCGCATCTAATGAGCTACATATGTTTTTGCAGCTCCTAATACACTGACATATGCAGTTGCCTTTGCGTTAGTGCAAGTCTCTATAAGAATGTCTACAGGTCCTCTGCTTCTCAGCTCAAAACAAGTTAGTTATATTACTACGTTTTATCTTTTTAGCTAACATGGGAGCAAACACAGAGTTTATCGCCATGAGCAGCATTGACCACAGTGGCCGCCACAAAACTAATGACGATAAAGACCAGAGATCCGTCGCTAGAGCCCAGAAGGTGCTCAGGGCATTATGCAGGTGTGTGTTTGTCTCTTGCGATGCTTCTGGTCCATCGTCTCGTGGTGCGGTTACCGTTTCTAGGTCCATGCCGTGGCGTTCCACGTCATCTTCGCGTGGCTACTTGCCGTCGCGTTGGCCGGGTCGCTGCGCAAGGCATGGGCTATCCGTCCGTCCGGTGGTTATGTCAGCCCATCTCCGTTGCGGCGGCTTAGATGCCATCGTGGCGGGCAGCCCTCCTTACAGGCTCCTGAGACCCAGCAGTTATACAAGTCGCCATACCAGTCAGCGACCTGCAGTTAGCAACAACGTTCTTCTCACATTTAACCGCCATAGAGGAGCACATCAGCTCGCTTGCGCAGATTCAGCCCAGTTCAAGCGCCAAAGGAGATGTGGTGGCTCACTTTGTCGACCAGGCGTTTCAGGCCTGGCGACCGACAGGCGGTGGCGGTGGCAACGACGACGGGTTCGTCGCGGTCTAGTGGCTAAAGTAGGATGACTTCTGGCAGGGGATAGCGGCAGGGGCTAGAGCCATAAGTTGCCTCCGCTTACAGCAAGAAGCAGGGCGTCTTCCGGCGGGCTGCTCGCTCAACTGGACGAGTTTGGCCGTATAATCGACGAAGATTCAGCAGAGGGAATAGAGCTAGTTATATTAGGCATGATGAGTGCTGCTCGAGGAAGACAGGCGCAAAGGGACAACAGCAGCAGCAGCAGCGACCCGTCTGCGTGGGCAGATGAGGGAGCGCTATGCGAGGTTGAATCTGAGCCCCTAAGCAGTGGTGGTCCTGTCGAACGGCTGTGCGGTATTGAGATGATTTTTAGGGACGCCATTGATCTTGGCGACTATGTGTAGTCCATCAAGCACTGGGGCGCGAAATAGGCAGCGCTCTAGGGAAACAGCTAAGTTGACATTATTGCTAGAACGAACCCGCAAGCGCTGACTGAGGCCAAGATTGCGCTGTCAAGCTATTGGGAGTCTGGCGCCATGCTGTGCAGCTAAGCAAGGAAGATAGTGTCTTTAATAGAGCAGAAGCTAAGGGTTGTCATTCAGTGGGACCAAAGGCTCTGTGACATACAACAAGACGTGAGTGTGCTACGAAAGAGAACGGTGAGCGTTAGTACAAATAATGCTGAGGTATATAGTATCAAACAAGAGCTTGTAGAGCTTATAGAAAGCTACATAAAAGGAATAACCCTTGTAACGACCTAGGAAATAGTGGATGATTAGATAGACATGTTTTACTCATTCATAGCATCAGTAGAATCAGTAACATGTCATATAATTAACAAAGAAAGACACTTAGGTCAGACCGGAAGACAAACATGAAAGGTTGTTACAGCTTTACTTACCTTTATTAACAATCGTGGTGTATAGCACCAGACTGAGGATACTTGCGCCGATTAGATCTTGGCACGGCATCCTTGGATCCCAGACTTTTGTATACGCTAGGTTTCTAAGAGCAATAGAAATTGATTGCACCCTTGACTTGAACCGAAGCGTTGCTTCTTGTAGGTGTAACAGACGCCGCAGCGGCCCGCATTCGCCCCGATCTGGAATGACGGCCGGGACGCCGAAATGGCGACGTCGGCGAGGTTACACAGAACGGCGGCAGTGCAAGACAAGCGTGATTCCTCAGTTAATGGAGGAGGAGGATGATGATGGTGGTGGTGGTGGTGGTGGTGGTGGTTGTTGTTGTTGTTGTTGTTGTTGTTCCTGATGTTCCTTGGACAGAGGAGGGATTGAACGGCGTAGCGAGCGTTGGTTTACTCTTTGTAGATGGAGACGAGGTGGGTGCATACGCGGTCCAGGTCTTGAACCAGGTCGAGGTTCGTTCTTGCCTCACGCGACGTCTGTTGAGAGGCGACGACGGAACGGAGACACGACACACCGGGCATGTCATCCATGACTGTTGTTCTTAGTACTCGGGTGGGCGTATGACGAGATTGGCGAATACGAGGGGAAGGCGGCGATGGATTGGAGGAAGATGAAGAGGGGAGGAGGGCGAATGTGAGGGAGGAGACGAAGGAGGAGCAGACGAGCGACGAGACGACGACTGAGAAGGATGATAAGAGGAGGAGGATGTTGACATGGACTGCGTGGACGGGCTGAGGATAGCATCGTCGTCGCTAAGCCAGGTAGGATGGAGCCGGGTCTGTCTCACGGTGTTAGGCCATTATAAACGCCTATCCTAAGCGGCAATGTCCTAGTAGTATTTAGGAAGGAGTTCTCTGGTATTGACTTTGAGAATGTATTGTGTATAAGAATATATCTTGGTCTTGGTGTCGTCCTGCTTGGCGTCAGAGAGCGAGGCGAGGTCGACATTCATATGGGCGGCGTTAGGTTCGGCATTAGCATCAGAAATGTCTTGCTTAATACGACATAGGGCATCCCGGTATTGATCAATGGATGAGGGTGTGGAAATAACTGATCGCAGGTTATGGGAACCAAGGCGGTAAAAGGAGAGGAAGGATCTTATCAGGGCGCGGTCGGAAGCGCGCCATTGGAGTCGAGGGGATGGAATTGCGTTTAGGATCTCGCCAAGAGTGCGACCGGGAAAGAAGAATGAGAGACGATCCTGAAAGGGTACATCATCATGTTGTTAGTTGATGTTTTGGACGTGTTTTTTAGTGGTGGTGTAAGATCAAGAGACACCACAGAGCACAGTACGAGCCACACACGCGCCACACACTCGTCACAGTGTACTGCTGCCGTACTTGTCACAGTGTACTCGCCACGCCCTAACACCCTACTCACTCACACACTTACCCACTCACTCACTTACTTACCCACTCACTCACTCGTTCGGCAACAGGAAGAAAATAAGGAAGAGACAAACAACTTCAACGTACACAGACAGACACCAGCTTGGCCATCCAAGTTTTTGTCGTCGCCGTCGCTCTCTCGAGATGTCGCCATTAATCATTCGTGTCTGTCAATTAATCAACCAGACAGGCAGAAAGACGATCGGGTTGTCCGGGAGGAGAACATGGTAGACGCAATTTGATCAAGATGCGAGAGACGGCAAGCTGAGACGAGGCCTGCAGAGTCCGTGAGCCTCGGTCGAGATGGGAAGAGATCAGGAAACCCGAAAGGCCATCGATGATCCATGGACGGGAGAGGCCGATCGGGATACCAGAGCGTGGTCACTTTGACTAGGTACAGTAGTCACACTTCGGGCCAAAGGGAGATAATCTATGCAGTTCGTTACGCCCAGGAGGTGATGGAATTCCACATCACCAGCAAGAGTTTGTTTTAAATGATGAATAGAAGGTACACTATCCGTACAGTACGGATATGGATACCTTCCCTTGTTTCTTTGTCGCTTGTTGCCTGAGCGACTTGGCCAGAAGTGATTCAGACCCACCTAGGGTCTAGGCCGAACAGTCATGTTCTTGCCACACTTCCAGCCACAAGACAAGCCCCAGAAGCAGGGCGGCGCTCGTGCTGGCGTCTGCTGGGATGGAGGGGAGGCAGAACCAAGGGGTGGCGGGATAATAAGTAGACTACAGATTAGATGCAGTCCCTTCGTCGCCTCTATTCGCCGCGCAATGCGCGCACACTCATAGTGCGTTAATTACCTACTCAGTGCTTAGCCATGCATGTCGCCAGTGATGTCGCTAGTGATGCAGCCAGTCAAGATTTAATTGAATCCTCAGTCACATTGCCCTCATGTTGCCCTTATGGGCGCAGCGAGTTGGTAGGTGTGTGTCACCACTTTAGGTGCTGGGTGGCTAAGCCTAGGTCCTTTGGTATGGGTGGGGGAGTTTACATCACAAAAAGTGATGTACTGTAAATTCAGGGGGAGTTTACATCACATTTTGTGATGTAAACTCAGGCGCAGGGTACGTAGTGCATAATACACAGTACTCAAGGTACCCCCCTCCCCTCCGCTCCCCACCCTACGTCAGTGCACAGCTGCTTATGCTACTCCGTAGGCAGCTGCTGCTAAAAGCAGCATGCTGCCTAGCGTGGCCCACCCAACAACCGCTGGAGGGACCGGGCGTCCACAGCGAATTTCACACGCACAACGCGCTCGCCCGTCGCCGTCGCTGTCGCTGTCAATTGAAGCTATTCACAACCCGCTGCTGTGCTGCTGGCGCCAGCAAGCCCAGACCGTGAGAAGCCGCCCAGATCTTAAGCCTATTTCTGCATAGTGGGAACCCGCCCGGATCAACTAATTTGCCAGCGCCAGATTGCTTAATCGCGTGCAATATATCACGTATCTTATTTGCGCATATATGACTGTGACGGTGGCTGCAGTGGCGGTTGTGGCGGTTGTGGCGGCCGACGGTCTGAATAATGAAAGTATGCGGTCCAGATAACTGCACTCACCACCGCAGGAAACCCGCGGGCCACGGAGATGTGGCTGGTTCGGGGGCAGGGGCGTATCTTTGGCAAAGGCTGCCTACGGAATGACATATTAAACACATGCGCACTGAGATTTGGCCACTACTTGATGATGTTGCTTCACGATGTGGCTGCCTTTCGGAGAAGAAGAATATACACCACGCAGAGCCTGTAACTATATGCAATCTCCGCCTCAATACCTTGAGCCTCGGCGTGCAGGGTTTGAAGAGTGGCGTCAGGGTTGGTTTCCGCCTCTATCAAAGCCATCAGTGTTTGCGAAGAGGCCTCTGTAGCTTTGGCTGCTGACATCAAGGCATTTGAGCCAGGTGGCACCTGTTGTGCCGCATTGAAGTCTCCTACTCTTGCTGCAAGGCCTTGAGCGAGGCGATGGATGGCCTTGAGGTTCAATACTTGTGTCTCCTTTTCTGATATTATTGTGAGGGCTGCTGTTTTCTCCAGTGCTGCACGTAAATGCGCCTCATGCTGCCTGTGGAGCGCCTTTAATCCTGAAAGAGAGGCGCCAGCACCAAAATGTAATGTTTCGTTGGCCAGGAAGTCACGGATTCTCGAGGAGCGAAAGTCGCCATCCGCGTAACTAGAAGTGGCAGCGTTGAGCAAAACGCTCGACTTGAACTTGAAGAATGCAATGGCTCCTGTGGTGGTGCCCTCTGATGCGGCGTGAGAGTTCCAGATGCTTTCGGCAGGCGTGGAAAAGGGACTCGTGAGGTACATGTTGCGGTATCGCTGTCGCAGAACATCTCCATCAAACTTGTCTGGTAGAGTGTTCCCCTCTGCCAGAATTGAGGCGGCGGCAATCAAGTACACCCCACAGTCCCAAGTGTTTGGTTGTATCGGTCCCTGCAAATGAATTGTTAGGTTCGGGGCCCGACACAGTGTGATTGCGTTGTTTGCTTATAACCTACCTTCAAGGACATGACACGAGGCGGAAGAGCGAGCCCGTAGACTCTTGAAACAAACGGCGCAACTTCTTGGGTGGTAATGTTGTCGCGGCTGACATCATGACCGAGAGGATCGTAGACGTGCAGGATAGAGGAGGCATAGTGGTAGAGAACCCAATGACTGCCTCCCTGGTTAAAGGGTATGAGCATTGCCGCTTTCCTGGACGCTTGTTCTATCCACTGTGGCGTTTTTGTCCACCCTCGCCATGCGCTTGTGGGCGCGCCTGTTTCCACCGAGGCAACCGAGTCGCTGCACAACCGTCGGAGGAGAGTGTTGATGATGTCGTCGTTGAACCATTTTCCCGAATCAAATCTGTCGAGATGTGAAATGAGCCACTCAAGATTGGGGCGGCGGGTGTTGGCCATTAGACTTTTCGATTGCGTCCCGACATCAATAGACGGCTGTGGAGAAGAAACATCGGAGCAGCCGGGTTTCCCTGATTGACAGGCGGGTACAGGAATAGCTGGACTATTTTCGCGGCGACAGACTGTAGCAGCTACTGGGGACGGTGCGATGCGTTTGTCTGTCGTACCAAAGGTAAACTTGAACGAATTGTCATTCTCGTATTGAGGTTCGTGTATTGGGCCAGCAGCGATTGACGCGTCACCCATTGAAAGTCTGCGCCTCTTTGTAGGTGCGTTGCAGCTGGACAAATGTGGGCCTGACAGTCTTTTTCGAATCGTCACTGTGTTTGGGAGATTGGATTTCAGGACGAAGCTGTTGTCGTCAGTTTTGTAGTCCTGCAAGGAAATTGGGGATGGCAACGAATCGTCAGCAACTGTCTGCGTAATATCTTGTGCCAGTGAGTCTTCCTCGTCTTGGTGGTTGTGAAAGACGGGATAGGTGGCTGGTGGCAGGGTGTGTTCGAACTTGTTATCGTCGTCGAATTCGTCGTCGTCGTTGAAGTCTTGGGAAACATGGAAGCTGCAGAACTGGTCTGATGTATCCTCGAGAGCGACAGAGTGGTCGTTTCCTTTGTCCCCGCGGCCTTGCTCGAAAGCAGATGTCTCTGATACTTCCTCTTCAGAACACTCCTGGATGAGGCTGAGTGTTGTTTGCCGACTTGTTTGGGTTTTCGGACAGAGGTCAACCTGGATTGTCTGCCGGGCAAAATTAGCATTAGCGTTTGACCAAGCTGTTGAAGGGATGGAGATGGCTAACATGCGGAGGCGCAATAGGCTCACTGGCTTCCCTTGTGAGCTTTCCTCCTTTTGTCTCCATCTCGTCAGAGCAATGGATAGAAGACACGGGCGAAGAAGGAGGGAACGGTTGAGTACTGGATGTGGACTTTTTGGGGCGGGGGCCGCCTTTCGGTTGTCTCACGGGCCAAGCGGTGGGATCGTCTGGGATTGCAATGCATCTTGTCAGCGCGATCGGAGAATTCGGGTAAGGAGAAAGAAAACTCACAGAACTGAATAGCGTCTCGAAAGCGTTTCCTTGCAGGTTCGAGGGGCCTTCCCCTGAGGTTTGGACCGGCGGTGGCCTCGGACTTGTTGGTGCGGCTAGCCGAGTCAGACGAATCAGTAATATCGGTCTGCAAGTGATGTACTCTGGTGGCGATATCGGTTAGGGTGACTTCGGGTTTGTTGGATTGAAGCGTCTTGAGGGCTGTGAGGCATTGCAAGTTGAGCGCGACTTCAATGCCGAGGAAGAAGCAAACGATGACAGGCTCCAAGTTGAATCGGTGCGCGATAGCCGCTAGTCGGTAGCGCAGGTTCCTTTGCTTGACAAGATGATGTTGGAAAAGCTCTGAAAGAACAGTCGTCAAGACTTTAGGATCGACTTTGTCGTAGGCCCAAAGCTGGAATGGTTGGCATGGAGGAGGAGAGATGGACTCAAAGGCTTCCTGAAGGTGGTTCCACTGCTCAAGGAGCGTGGTCCAAACGTTGTCAATGTCAAACTTGAATGCATTAACTATATCGAGGGCATTTTCCAAGGGACCTGACGACATGGATCCGTTTTTGATAAGAGTCAATGCGATGGCGGTCGCTAGTATGGTGTGATGTAGTTTGTATGAGTGAGGTTGTCTGTTCGTGGGTATGTAGCTAAGATGGTGAAAGATGGACGCGTTTGCGTTCGTGATGCGGGGCGGAGGGGGGTGCGCGTGCGGTTGCGCGAGGAAGGCACGACATCATGTGATTGTCTCAGGTATGTATGCCGCTACCTGAGAGGAAGGAACGACCAAAGGTAGATATTTACAAGGAGGTCCAGATGATGTTCACAGCGTGCAGCGAGTGCATATCATGGCTTTATTACTGTTGGCATTAGAATGAACTTATTAGGCTATCGCAGTCGTTGATCACAGCCTTCATAGCGGCACTTTGGATGTGGTTGTGGCGGTCGAAGAGGTAATCAATTTCAGAAAAATCATGAATTTAGCCACGCAGACAGACAGACTGGCCGGGCCGGTTAACCGGTCGGGTTGGTCGTGGTCGTGGTCGAGGTCTAGGTCGTCACATCATAGTCAACCGCAGTGTACACATACAGGCCGTGAGAAAGACAGAGCGGTGGACCGTGTCATTAGTTGCCATAGTTATAACATTGATTGAACAGGTGGGAGTATCTGGGAGAATTTAGGGTTGGACACCATCATGACCAAGCGCATGAAGCAAGGCAAATCCATCTTCATGCCGATAACTGCCAGTTGCAAACAGCCGAAAGAATTACGAACCTGTGGCATGGGATAATGCTGTGGCGGTGCTGTTATTTTACATCATTTTTTGTGATGTAAAATCTACCTGTACTATGAGATGGATTACCTAATAAAGATGACTTCTGGGAGGTCGGCACTGGCCGCTAAACTCAGGCCCCTCCCCTGCCCCGAAAGTTCGCCTTGGCCTCTGGAATCCATAACGTTCGCCCAAATAGATGGCGTTGGCTTGCCTGGGTGCCTGGTTCGTCGTGTTTGCTGTCTCGTCGGCTGTTTCCGAAGACTTTTTCGTGGCTTTCATCCGTTCGCATTCTCGGAGCGGAAATCAGGATAGGATTTTAAGGATGATAGCGATGCTGTGTGTAGGCCATTGTTTTAGTCGGAGCTCTGCACAGGAAAACAGGGCGAATCAGACTCATGGTAAAAAGGTACATCCCCTTGATGTTGACCTCCCACTTGGTCCACCACTCGTTCAGGTCGGTCTCGGCTAGGGGTGCCCACGTGGACAGGAACCTGGCATTGTTGATGAGCAGGTCGACGGCGTCAAACTTCTCGGCTACTCTCTTAGCAAGGCCCTCGACGTCCTTGGATGATGTCCACGCCGCTCCCGTCTGAGCGCGCGGTAACGACGATGTTGCTGGCGCCCGACTGGGCGAGGGCTTTGGGTGTGGTATCATCAGCGCGCACCGCAGGAATCACGTCGAAAAGAGGGACGAAGAGGATAAATGACACAATTGAATAGGGAGAAGAGAAAGAGTTACGGAGTGGCGAGGCTGAGAATCAAAGAGGACTGGCTGTGCGTCAAGAGAACGGGGTTGAACGGTATGTATAGTGGTTTGGTGGAAGGGTTGAGTGGTTCCGAGCCGTGGGTGCAGGGGTGGATGAGGGTGGCGATCAATAACAAGAATGGACATCAAGGAAGTGTCGGGGCATTGCCTGCTGCAAGAGAGGTCAGTACTGCCGCGAGCCGGTGAGGAGGCTGGATGACATTGACTGGTCTAGTCTGAAAGGTCCTAATTGCTGTAGGACCACTTGAGAGGCAGTGGGCTGTTGCTTTGGAACGGGGTGGAAGAGTGTTATCATTTGGTGACCGATACCAAGGCAAGGTTGCGCAAATGTTGTACTGCAGTAAGCAGCTCTATCTATGCTGTGTCCGAGGTGGGTAATGTCGCGATCGAAGGGCACTCCTGCGGTGGCCGAGGTCGGAATCCAGAGCATAGCCAATGCCTACCGAGGCTTAGCACGACATAGCCCAAGAGCGACGACATGCGAATAATTCTGGCACAGGCGCGACGACGGGTATGAAGACGACTCGAGGCAAGCAATAGGATTCGGTAGGCTAGTCGCAGATAGACGACGTGGACGGGGCAGAGGCAAAAGCAGGTTGGCTGTTTGTGGTCCAAGTCAGCCGAGGACAAAGTAAGGGTGGAAGATGGACGAGCCAAGGTTGGGTTCGAATTGGAGAACAGGAGATGGGGGGCAAAGGTACTCCGTATGCAGAATGGGCATGGAAGGTGAATGATGTCGTGACGGTTGGACTTACGGGCCGGTTTCCAAGTGACGAAAAGTTGTTTCTCAGCAGCAACTTCCTGACAACATTGCCGCCAGGCCTGGCTGGGGCGTGATCGCGTGGGGGGGAAGTGGGAAGGCAGGCAGGCGCAAGGACATGTGTGGGGCTAGAAGTTCTCCACCTGCCTCTTCAAGGAAGGCAGCTGCGCGTGGTAGTGGCAGTGAGCAGGTACCTGGTCTGGTCAGATCGAAAAGCGATGTGTGGCTTGACCTGGCTCCTCCTACAGCCGATGAATCCCCGTGGTTGGACAAGGCCCACTTTTACGGTTCTGAAAACCGTGTAATTCAACCGTAGCTGATATAATCATGTGGCGCATTCAGTCACTGCCACCTCAGCCAGCCACCACACCAAGCCTCAAACTGTGGAACTGCACCAACTTGAGGGGGAACTCCTTCCCTCCCACTGAAGCCATTCCCATGACGTGATATCCCACGATGCAGCCAGCATAGAAGGCGCAGGATCCATCGCCGACATGCTGACTGGAGACACCCGACCCAGCCTGCTGTTGCTGCCGTTGCTTGACGATATCAAGTTTGTCGTCGGTCTGGGAGAAGGTGATTGATGCCTTTCGCTATGCGACACGCAAGTTGAATCTGGGACAGATGATTGATTTCAAGGTCGCGGGCGCGTTCGTGTCATGCCGGGCTCGGTTCTCTATGAGCCACGATGCATGCAGGGTGTCTCGCCGCCCGCCGATGCTCTTCTGCTGGTGTTGAACAAAGGGATGTAATGTCCGACGAGCCGACTGACTGTGCAATTGCAACCAGAGAAATGTGCAGATTCGACGGGAAACCCAAGGGCCAGTTGTGTGTATGTAGGTGGGTGTCCCTTCCCTAACCCTAGATATATGGGTGTGTTCGGATTTGACAGCAGCAACATCCATGGCGGCTTACCTCAGAAGAGCGCGGTCGCCATGGAATGTGAACCCCACGAAATAAGCGTCTTGAACGAGCTGTTTTGCCTGCATCGCTTTGGATGCGCCAAGCATTAGACCCACCTTCCACATCAGGGACCGGGTCCACCCTCCACGCCAGCGCGCTTGGTGTTGCACGCCCGAAGACTGTAGGTACCTAGGTAGCCACTGTTGAAAGTCCCATAGTGGCCCACATCCACGGCCAAGCAAGGTGGGGAGGGCTTGTCTAGACACCTTATTCTGACGACGAAACAGACACGAACGCGCTGGGAAAATGTGCCATTCAGGTGGAGCGCGTCGACACCCACGTCAAGCCTCTCACACTCCGGTGCTCTCAAAATGATCCAATTTACAGGCAGAAATGACACCTTTATTACTATTTGCATTTCAAACCATGGTGCTGAGTACATTTGCGACCGCAAAGTTTGATGGCCGCCGAAGATAATGGTGCAGCAGTGTGTTGCGAATCGAGTCCCAAGTTCAATCATCTTCATGAACACGAGAAAAACAGACGAGCATGTTAATAAAATGTAGGTCGTCGAGCCATTTCAGAGCGTGGGCCGGGAATCCCCCCTTCCTCTCTCTCTCTCTCTCTGTGTATGTGTGTTCGCACACTCATATACTTGGCCAGGGTCTCAGTCACTTGTAATCATTGCACTCAATTTCATGTGGTGAAGACATGAAGAAAGGCAGCCCAAAAGCTTTTTGATCGTGTTCTTATCTCAACTATGCGATATCTTCCTTCTCTGGAATCCTCCAACGACCCGTAACGGCCCCGTCCTTGCGGTATATCGCCACTTCCATCACATCAGCGCCCCATATCACCGTCGTGTTCCCCCCTCCTGTTTGGTGTGCGATAGGCACGGTCATGGCCTTTGGATCGTGGCTTCCTCTGGCATCTCCCACTGCTTTGGCCGACTGGCGCACTCGGATGATCCAGAGTCCCAGTTCGTAAAAGTCACGACAGCCGAGATGCTCGGCAACCATGCTGATTGTGATGGGGCCGTAAGTCTTGCTCAGGAAGGCCCACAGTTGTTTAACCACTTCCTCCGACCAGGTGGTTATGGCCTGTTTCACACAATGTTAGCTACCCTTGCATGACACGATCAGGGACAGCTCAAATGCCGTTGCGACTTACGGGCGGAGGAGAAGGCGCCGGCGTAGGAGGAGGAGAGGAGAGAGGAGACGACGACGCTTCCTTTGAAGGCTGCTTCTCTGATGAACTGTGACATTCCTGATGTGACGAAGAAGCCTAGTCTTGCCCTTGAACAGGTGATGCCATTGTGGTGGGAATGAGACGATGATGGGCAGCAACTAACACATCACAGGAGTGAGAAGAAGAAGCCCAATGAGTGAGATTACATAGAACGTATTACCTTTTGATTAATATAGCGTTTTTTTTAATAGTCGTCGTCTCGCTACTGAAAAGATGTTTGGGGCAGGAATCGGCACCGAGATAGACTGGATACTCAGTGAAAGGGTCACTCACTGAGTCTTCTAGCCCAGTGGAGTGTCAATTCAACAAGAGCTCATTGATTGGGGGGGGGGGGGGGGGGGGGGCTAGTCACGGGATTTGCTTCGCTAGGCAGAGCCGCCAGGTTAATATCTCCCTTTTTTCAATTTCTACTTTTCTTCTTTTTCCTTTTCTTTTCTGTGGGCGCCGTGTGAAGTCAAGTTCTTTTCTTCTCCTTCTTCTTCTCATTCTCCTTCGTCAGTCGGTCTGTTTCCTCGTCGTGTTTCAAGTTTTGTCCGTCCCCTCGCCTTCGCGGACGTCAGTCTTTTTTCTTTTTCTTTCGCCTCCTGTCGGATTGTTTGTTCTTGTTCTACTCCACCATGTCCGACGACCAGAAGAACCAGCCTTCAAGACCCCAACTGCCTTCGCTTGGGCAGTCAAATGTAAGTATCATGTCATCGCCAGTCCCCCGTGTTGAAATCTCTGTCCTGCATTCCAAAGTCTACAAAATTTGCCCTGGTGGCAACACTGGTGTTTAAATCATGTGTCTCGGGTGTAAACAAAAGGCACCCCCTTGACGCCGAGACACAACTTGAGTCCTTGAGTACATTACAAGGCTGACTTACTGATGATACAGAACTTAATCAACGCCACCAACTACCACCAGTACCCGACCGATGACAACTTGCAGAAAGCCGCAAATAGCTTTCGACCCACCCGCAACCAGCTCGCCGCCTTCCAAGTGCACACCAAGCACACATCCAGGGGCGTCCTCGCCAGCTACAAAAGCCAAGGACTTGCCCCCACCGCCCGCGACACCCTGACGCACGAGAACCTGGCGTGGCTTCGGAACCATTGGCCCACATGGGACAATGGCTTGCTCGACATGGCCAACGACCTGCCCCGCCGCGATCTGGTCAGCGCCATCAAGTCCATCGCCACCCGGTGGCTCAAGCACGCCCCTGGCCTCCCGCTCTCGGACCTCTGGGCAGACAACGGCATCATCACCAGCGCCATACAGTCCACCGGGGGTGGCTTCACCCTCAGAGCCGTTCAGCTGGCGTCTCGGCGTCTCAACGAACATTTCGGCATCGCCAAGAAGCCCAAGTCCAAGTCCAAGTCCAAGGAAAACGAGGCCAGCCCCAAGCCCACCGCCGAGGACGAGGCCGCCGAAGTCGCCCGTGTCGACAAACAGGCCCAAGACGCCGACGCCGCCGCCAACTCCTCCCTCCTGGCGGAAACATCCTTCCCCCCCTACGATGAGGATGTCAAGCCCAGGGACAAGGATGCCGCATCGCCTCTGTTTGAAGAGGCAGACAGCATACTCGACATCAACTGGGGTCAGTCCCAGGTGGAGCCTCTTGCGCCCGCACGCACTCCCTCCCCTCCCCCCATCCTCCCAGGCACCGAGGCCTCGGACTCGGAGTACTCGGTCGACGGTGTCCTCGGACACCTCTTTTCGCGCGCCGAGCTCCCGCTGCAACCATCCGCGTCCAAGTACCGCGCCATTCGGCGCCAGGCCCTCGCCGACGAGGAGGAGAAGAAGCGCGAGGAAGAGAAGAAGGAGGAGCGCCGCCGCAAACGGGGCGAGCAGAAGCGCGAGCGCCAGCGCAAGCAGGCAGAAGCAGCAGCAGCAGCAGACAAAGGGGAGATTGCCAAGGGGTATGCGGAGGCGGCGAGGCAGGCGGCGTCACGTGTCGGGCGGGAGAGATTCAGAAAGCAGCTCTCCGGAGCGCAGAGGAGGAGGATCACAAAGGGGGTTGGGGACGTGGTGAGGAAGGAGGTGGAGCGGCAGCTGTGAGGATGTTTTGTTTGCGGTGCTTATTTGCTGGTGACAGGTGTGTTTGTGTGGGTGTGTGTCGGTGCTTTTTTTTTTTTTTTGCTTCGGGGAGACGTACCGCTTGCTTTTGATTTCGGAGTAATACACTGTCGCGTGCTTTTGCGCGTGAAATCTGCGGCTTGACGAACATTGGTCCCTATCATTTGGTTGTGTCTTGACTGTGATGATCTCTTGCCTTTTTCTTTTACGGGCGCCATGACATTATTCTTGCTCGTCTGTCTGTCTATTCTCCTGTCCAACTTTGCGACCTTCTTCTGCTGCTCCTATGGGAGCAACTGTGGTCTAACACTGGGAACAGCCGGTGTCGAATTCCTGTCGAACAAGTATCGGCATTTGTCTTCCTATGGTTGTGTCAGTTGCTCTGAATCAGGCCAATGAAAGATTGTTATCATACACACGCTTGACAAGTAAGCTTTGCGGTGTGCTCCGGTTTCCTCGTGAACATGCGCCTGGTCACGGCTGATTTCTAGAAGAAAAAAGAAATAAAAGAAAACTCCAACGCTTCTGTGGCGGCTATGGAAAGCTTCAAGACTAGAGTTTATTGGTGCTGTCGGCATCATGTCACGATAGCTTCATGCGTCACTCGCATTTGACATCAGGCCTGAAATGTGTCATTAATGTCAAATGAGCTACACTCCAATCATTGATGTCAAATGAGCAACAGAACTACTCCTTTCATATCTTACCACCTGGGGAATTGAGCCAATTTCATCACTATTCTCATCTGCCCCGCTGTGCGCTCTAGCTCGTGACGTGATACCTGAGGGGCCCCCTAATATATCCTCTAGCCACACCATCCATGGGGTTAATAGCCGAAGAATGCCAACCATGAAATGACCGTGACCAGTCCAAGCCTATCCCCATTATTTCTCCTCAAGAATGTGCACAGTACCTCAACGAATGTGTTATGCCTGTAACAGGTTGCATGCGGTTTCAAGGTACTGCTAGCACATTAGATACCAAAGTTACCTTCGCTTGCGCTTCACTCCCTCCTGTAATGCATCTCGCACGCCCTCGCACGTATGTATATCAACCACCTTGCGCTCAGGCGCGTTCCTCCTGGACCAAAGAAGCCTCCTCGATAGCAAACGCGACTGCACTGTTGCCGCGTTTCAGAGCGTAGTTGACAGGCGTTGGTCTCAAGAACCACATCTCCCCCATGAAGGCGAGGCCACGGCGGAAGCGGTCAGTCCAAGCCATGTGTGAGTTGTGACTCAGCTGGTCCCAGCAATCCAGCCTTCTACGCAGCTGATCCCGCTCAAGCACGATATTTCGGGAAAGCCTTGCACGGTCCTTGGTGTTGGCGATAGCCCCGAGACGCAGCAGGCTCTCAACCAGGTTTCTGGCATTGAATATATCGACTTCAAAATGCCCCGTTCTTGTGGAAGCTGCAAAGGTGGCGTAGTGTAAGCTGGATCGGCCCCATTCGTCGGGCCAGTCGTGAAGCGCGTTGCGGCGGGCGGTTGGTTCGTCCACGACCCAGTTGATGAGGTCTGTCATGCCGTTGGCGGCCATCATGTGCAAGCCCGTCATTCCGGCTGTAAATGTGAACTCTCTGTCCCAGACGGCGCCGCGAGATATGAGTATCTTAGCCGTGGACCCGGCACCTGCTGCGAGGGCCATGTGGAGGGGCGTGGCGCATAGGCTGGGCTGCCACTTATGTCGGTACTGCGAGAACTGCATATGTGTGGAGGGGCAGAGGCACCAGAGGTATGCCTTGCAGTCGACATCGGCATCCGGGATGTGCTCCAGAATCCACTTGACAATGTGGTCGTGGCCGCCGCGGACTGCAGCGTGGAGGACTGTGGCGCGTGGCAAGTCTGCGTCGACAAGTCCCGCACCGTGAGTGCCGAGTGGGCATTGCCAAGGGACACTGAATCGATGCGAGAAGAGCGAAGCCAATGTCATGTTCGGCTCGGCGATGGAGAGGTGTTGAGAAAGGCGTTGCAGCAGTGGAAGGTTGCCTGAATGAGCGGCAAAGATCAGAACCGCTTCTCTACGTTTAGGCAGTCTATGAAGATGGGCACTGTCAGTGATTGTGTTGCTCGACGAGGGAAGTAAGCGAGGGTTGTGTAACGTTACAGGTCGAGACGAGAGTGCTGCACTGCGTCAAACGAATGGCGAGGCGGCGACGGGTTCAAGCGCTTCAACTCATGATGGACGACTAGGTCGGAACGAACGGCCAGGCCGTGCAGGAGCGGCCCGACAATCTTATTCCAGAGTCGACAGGTGACGAGCAGTCGAGTGAGCTCGTGGAGGGAAGTGCTGCCGCTGGAGTCTTGAGCTAGCTGACGCGCAATCGCGGTCAAAATCTCGGGCGTGAGCCTGAAGACGCTCGGTTGTGATGATTCCGTGGCGTCCGCCGTGGACAGAATCTTGGCTGGAGAAGATGAGACGCCATCCACACTGGCCATGATGGGCGACTTGGAGGTTGCTCTTTAGGTGGTGATGGTAGTGATGAGGATGAAAAAGGAACGAACACGTGGATGGCCCTGATGGAATATTCTGCACTGGAGTCAAGGCGTCAATTTGTGTTTCCTTTTCTTTTTTTCTTTTTTTTGGCTTGCTGCGAGGGAAAAGGTTCTTGTATGTGTGAAGCCCAAGTAAATGTTCAGACCTGTTGGCTGTGGCTTCGCCGGGATGTGGCTGAGAGTGAGTCTTTCCTTGCCCTCTCTGAAGTGAAGTGGAGAGAGAGCACATTGATTAATTACGTAACTCACTCACCTCCAGAAACTTGAGGGTGAGGTGATGAACCGCAGCAATGTCAGCCGAGATAAAGGCAGTTGGTTAGTATGTATATCAAATGTTAGCGAGCGTTTCTCTACAACTATGTGATACAGAGCTGAGTTTGGTCTGCTGCTATGGATAATGATACTTTTGCCGTCGGAAATTGACGTGAAGTCAACGACTGGAAGTGAACGCTTAAGCAAATAGAGGAAAGTGAGACCATGTACACCATGGATGTAAGTAAGTAGTTATACGCAATGAATGTTCCATATATCTTGACCAAGTATTAAGAGGGAAATAACGGTTTATGGTGACCGTCATGAGGCTGGAGTGAGGCAGAAGTAGTCGTTGGATGGAAGCAAAGATTCAAACACCATCCTGCACCACCCGTAGTTGACTCACCAAAGTGCTACAATATTTTCATTCAACTAAATTCAAGTTCTCATCCATTTCATCAGTCCTCACCTCTACTATTCATCACGCGTCACCACGGCTTGCCTATCTCACAAATACACCACCTGTGAAAAGCCTGCCGCATCAACCGCCTTTTCTTTTTTATATCTCAATGTATGATTGTGACTATTGATTCATTTTCATTCTTCTTTTATTTCTTTCTATTTCTCAGATGGATATGATTCTAACAAGTTAAATAGAAAAGAACAGTCACTATCCGTCGCCGCCATGTCGAGGTACAATTTTCGATCACGCCCAGCAAAGGAGGATCTGCCGCTGCCGCCAACCCCAAAGAAGCGAGTCAAAAGATCCGACAGCATCAATCACAGCGGTAAGTAGCTGTTGCGCGTGCAAAGGTTCAATGCTAGAGTTCTCAGACTAAGTAATGTGCCTCGCGTTACAGACCTCCCTATCCTGACCGCCGACGTCCTTCGGAAAGCCCTCAAACAGCATCCAGACGTATCATTCCTGTCTCATCCCCCTACTCCCGTACGTTCAGTAGTACTTTGATACGCCGTCCATCAGCTCGCCGTCGAGACCTATGCTAACACAATCCATGAACCTAGATCGACGTAGAGGTCAGCGAGCTGCCCGAGGAGAGCGGTATCGCCCTTACAAACAAGGCGGACGAAACAATCGTCCTATCTTCTGACTCGGAGCCAGCTACAAACAAAGATGAAAATTGGAGGGAAAATACAGGGGTGTGGCACGACCTCCAAAGCTTTGAGCCAGGCGCCTGGCTCAACGACGCTGCGATATTCCGTGTCGTGACAAAGCTTGCTGCGCGAGACAAGAGCTTTGGTGTAGTCGACCCTCTTATTGTTGAGAACTTCAACAGCTTGAGCGGGCCTAGCTGGGACGCCAGGGATTTCGCGAGGGATTACTTTAATAAGCCCAAAGTGTTGCTTATAGCAAACCCCCTCAGGGCACACTGGGTGCTCTTCCTGTGGGAGCAGGAAAAAAAGCAGCTCTACCTGTATGACTCCCTGAGGGGAGGCAAATACGAAGCTGCCGCCATCACATCGGTGGTGAATCTCGTCAAGGTCGCTTTCCCAAACGAGGAGATCGCAGCACCCATCTCCAGAGAGGTAGGCTATATCTTGCTCATCAGTACAGCCTAAGCGTTAACTAACCACACCCCATATAACGCAGTGCCCTCAGCAGCCCAACGGTTTTGATTGCGGACTTCATGTGCTTCGGAACGCCGACATACTAACATCGACACTCATGCCGGGAGCGCCCGAGCCGCCCCTAGACCCCCAGACAATGCGCGCCCACTACAGACAAGTTTTCTTGGGCTAGTCTTGAACGAGACATGGCAGAGTGCAGGGGAGCTGAGGATTTTCGTGACGAACGAAGTTGCGTTGTCGGTAATAAAGTCATAGCTTGCATTAAAGAGTGAATACAACCGGTTCTGAAGTGGTTGCTGACACCTCTTACTTCCTAGCTTTTATGAGTGTTGAGGGGATGCTTACTGTAAATTTGTGATTAATACCTTAGTCTATAACATAAGAGTAAGTATTTGTAATAGCACTAGGTGTTTACTTTAAAGACGGAAAGTATCAGTGTAGATTTAGTTAGTTCATGCTGACTAGTGTATTTTTATAGTATATCACGGATTCTATTTATGGCGTATCTTATGTTAAAATTTGTATGTACTGAAAACGCATTCTGCGGCTGAATCGTTATCAGCTCCCACTCTGCCATGCCTGTAGAAGACTCAGATGGCTGCAAGCATTGCCAATCAGGAGGTTTGTATTGAGACATCAACTGGACTTGACTAAGGGTCCGGTGCGGGAACATGGCGGATGCCTACCATTATCCGAATAGCTCAGAGCCAGATCTGTATTTAATGAGGGTTTAGAAGCTCCTTTTCTTACTTTACTACATGTCGTAGCCATTACACATTTTGGTATCTGCATCTGTTAGGTGATGCCACGAAAGACAAGCACCTATTCATTACACAGAAATCCAAACGAGATGGCCGACGCCTACCCAGATGGAGCCTTCATTCAAGGTCTGAAGAATGCAGAGTAGAGGTTTACGAAGCGTACCTTGGAAATGCTACTGCATCCGCTTTCATATCAAGCTTGTCTGCTCCTCCTGGGAAAGCATCAACAAGGCAATCTCTGATCTCGCTATGGAAACTCTGGCACTTGGCGTCCCCAGAATGAACGACGGGTGAGGGTTTCACGATTACGCTAGAGCGGTAATACAAAATATTACTGACGACTCTAGGGATTTAACTGACTGGATGACATGACCCTGGTAGGGAGCTAGCCTAGGCGGCTATGACTAACTTGATACCGAGTTTATATAGAAAACATCTTGGCAAGTCAGTTTGCAAAGGACCACTTGTAGTATACCTGTGTACACTAACGTCCTTTGTGGGGGACATACAGACTGCCCCGCGCCTGTCTATCGTCCTAGACACACACGAGTTGAAAAACTCGACAATACAAACCAGAATTCTGGTCCGTCAGGCAGCAGGCACTTGCCAAGCATCAACAATGCGAACCGGAATCTTGGTTCATTAGGGATCCAGTACGTGACATTTCCTAGGCCCTCCACTGTTTATAAAGTATACGCCCCGTTTGTATTAACATCTGCAGACCACCTAGATAGCCTGGCGACAGAGTGAACATGTTGCTAGCAAGAGTGTATGAAATATGGAGAGGTGTCGCGTACGATAGTGCCGATGCTACTTTCTTTCCCGTCCGTCAGCTGGGACAAGTGTCGTCAGCCTCAATTCCTCTACATCCGCCGCCCCCTTGCGTGTTGTCGTCTGTATTGGCTCTTGAGCTTCGTCGGCCTGGCACTCTATCCAAGCAGCTGTGCCACAGTCTGCGACAAGTGGTGGTGCTGCTGTTTGGCGGCCCGCCGGGCGTAGTCAGCGTGCGTGCGCCGTCTTCTGCTCTTGGAACAGCTGGGTGTCTGCCTCGATGGTGTTCGGTCGCATGGTCGATCTGTCTCTTGATGGAGGTCGGCCTGACTGAGGGCGATGCTGGTAGGAGAAAGGTCGGGGCCGTGATGACGGGCATCGTGTGAGCAACTGCTGGGTTGGGAGTCAGTTACCCGGCTTCAAATGACGACAATTCTGTACACACTGACTACACACGTCGCTGTACTTCTCCATCTTGGCTCCAGCGGAACGCCGCTTAAGCTGGCGGGCAGCTGGGTATCCGTCACGCTCGAGAGGTTTGTGGTTTTGATGAATGGGTCGTTGGCCAGATGACAGAGCCATTCGTCATAGTCGTGGGCGAGCGAGGGTGATCGCAACCAGAGTCTTTGGGGGCCGTCGTATCTTCTGGTCGGCTAGAGCGTTGGATTGATTCCATAGACTTCATCGTCACCAAACTGGCTGTGAAAGATTGGGGATTTGGGTGGCATTGGAGTTTATGGTCCCATGTGACTATAGGTAAGGAAAGAGAGAAAGGGGGAAGGAAGAGGGAGAGTTGTGCGTCTCTTGCTCCTGCTTGATCCATCCATTCATCCACTCGCGCCCATCCTCCTATTTGTTCTCTGTATCCTGCTCCGTTTCACTCCTTTTCGCAGCCAACGGCTCCTTGGCGTAAGTTGATCGGTCGATTCCTAAGTTCCTTGAGTTGGTTCATGATGACTGACACTTCCTATACAGCCGAGGGGGCCTCCTCTCTCCTGTACTCCTCTGGCGTTGCTGTGGCCACAGAACCATCGAGATGACGGCACCACGCGAGGCAGACGCAAACATAATGGAGACAAACAAACGATTCACCCGGCAACCATCAATGCATTGGCACAACTCCATCCGCCATGCCTAATGCGTCTCTCCCTCTCTCCCGTCTCTTATCTTATCTTGCCTTATGTCTTATTACGCGTCTCCTATCTCTTAACTAACTATGCACCATTACAACCTCTGACCCTCACTCGCTCGTGTTGCCGTCAGCAGAAGTTTCCCCTCGCGAGCCTCTATCGCCCTGTTCATGTCCGCCCCCTTGGCCGCTCTTGATAACGTTTACGAAATGTCCATCATCCCCCGCGTCCACCGTGTATGTTGTGTACAACGCCTGAAGTTTGACCGTCCTCAGCCGCGTCCCCCGACACCAGCACGCTCAAGGCCTCGTCGCAGGCAAAGTGTCACGCGCGGACGCTGTACTGGTCCTACTTGCAAAGACTACACGACCTGAGTCCGCTAGATTAGGTGGGGGGGTGGCTGCGCCAGGTGTGGCACATGGACTCCACGTGACCTGGCGCCACACCTCACGAGACGCGAGGTGTCAAGGGAAGTCTAAAACGCGGGACATTCTGGATTGGTTTGAAGCTAGCTACGATGTTCGTCTTGTCATAGATAAGATGAAAAGAAGGCATCAGCTGGCTGAGTGTGCCGGGCGTCAGTGCCGATGATACCCTGGCTCTGTGTTGTACCCACTGATTTCATCCATTCATCACCTCAAGTATTTCGAATACCTAGTTATCACCATACTTGACGAAAGAAAGAGAATGCATCTTGGATACGTACCTCGGTTCGCCTTGCGTACAGTACCTGGTACCAGGTACATCAGCTTTGGTCATACTCCGTAGGCATTTTGCACGCTGCCTCACCTCATGCGGACCGGGCCGAGCCAGGGAGAACCCTTACCAGTTACTGTACCTAGGTACATTGAATTAGGCATCGCTCAGGAGTCAGAGGCTGTCGTGACAAGTTCCACTTGTTGTCACAGTGCACTCTTCCACTACAGTCTGTTGCGTTAGCAGCGTCCAAAACCTATTTTTCAGTCCGTGCACCTGCGCCACACACAAATACAACCTAATACAAATTCGCGTTTTTTAGCTAACAGGATCTAAAATTTATATTACCTAACATTTAATACTTAAAGTTGTATATATAATAATAATAAAGGCATTTTAAGGCCTATATAAAGCTACTTATTAGTTATATATCTAGTTATTCCTTTAATTAACTATTTTACTATATAGTAAAGTTCTTATTATAATAATCTATAAAAGTATACTTTTTAAATAAGTAACCTTAATAAAGTTATAAGAGTAGTATATATATAAAGAGAGTAAAGTCTATAATAATCCTATTACTATTACTTACTACTATTATTCTTTACTAAATAAATACTATATTAAATAAATATAATAGTACTAAGGTTAAATAAAAATAAGTAAAAAAAGATAGTATAAATCCTTAAGTTATTTAAAAAAAAAAAAATACTATATAGCTAGGCTATACTACCTATATAGTCTAGTAATAGTGTTATTATTATAAAATAACTAGCTAAGTAGTAATTTATTTTACTAGTTAGTAAAGCTAAATAAAGTTAAAAGTATAGTAACTATATAAGTTATTAAAGCTTTTTACTTACTATAATAATCTTAGCTTTAAAGAAATATAGGATTTTTTTTATAAGTAATTTAATATAGAGGTTTATAAGTTAATAATTAGTTAGTAGCTTTATATAGCTAAGTAAATATTAAAGTTTATTTATATTATTACTACCTAGAGGGATAAGGTACTATAGTATAACTAGATATACACTATTTATAAATACTATCTAAAGTAATTAGTATTTATTAATAAGTTAAGTATTAATAAATATATAGGTATATAAAGAATAAGTTAAATACTAAAAGAACTATTACTATATTAAAAAGATAAGTTTAAATATAAATAGTAATACTAAATCCTTTTTACCCTTACTATAAATAGTATATTTAATATATTAATATACCTAAGTATAATAAATAGTAATAGGTTTATAATATAGATTTAAGATAAAGTTTTACTTAAGTATAGTACTTTTTTTATAGTAAAGTTAGTTATTATTATAAATAATACTAGCTTTTATTACTAATAAAATATTTAAAAAGTATATAATTTAGCTAGTGTATAACTATTATATCTACTACTATACTTATTTAACTTTAACTTTATTAAGAAAGTATTTAGTAACCTTAAAAAGCTTCTTTATAAGTAGTACTTAAGATAAAATAAAGATAAAAAGGATTTATATAAATTTAATAAGCTACTTTATAATTATATAGCAGAGGTTAGTAAAAGCACATAAGGTATAAGGGACTCTTGCGGTGTAGTGACTATATAGAACACCACAACTACCAAAAGCAACATAAGATTCCTTACTAATTAGTACATAAATCGTCTTAATCTGTCTAGAATTAACGTTAATTATAAGTGTTAAACTATAGGATTAAGTATAATTATGCCCTAATTAGGTAGGTAATTACTCCTAATTGTCTTATGTTATTATAATTAAAGGTAAATTATAGAGAGGCTCTAGTTTGATTAGAAGGTAGGTATAAGTATAAAGGATAAATTCTACGTGTCTATCTCTAAATCTGTTAACGCTGGCTTATATGTGTGTACTTAATTAGGATTAGGATCTTCTGATTGGCCTGTATACTACCTTGCTTTAGGCTGATTGCCTTACCCTGCTCTATTAGTTATAGTATAAAATAAATAAAAGGCTATTTTTATTACTTATTTATTAACTTTAATAGTATATAAAGGTTATTTAATAATATATTAATTAATAAAGATAGTAGTAATATTAAAGATATCTTTATAATTAGTAAAAAAAGTACTATTATTAAAGCAGTAATAAAAAAAAACAACTATTAATAAATAGTAAAAAAATCTAACTATAGTAACTACTTATTTACTTTTGCTATCTTACTTTTTATTAGCCTTATTATATTACTTTTTATCTCTATTACTTTTATATAAATCTATTAATAACCTATTATTAACTATATATATTAAGTTATTAGCTTTGTTACTATATAACTTATTAAGGCTAAAGTTATTTAGCTTATTATATATTATAAAGTTAAGAAGGTATTAACTTATATAAATAATTAGTAAAAATAAATTACCTAGTTATATAAAGAAAAAAATAAAGAGACTATTTATTACCTAGAGGTTAATATAATTATAATTACTAGATTTAATTTAACTAACTAAATCTACTTTTCTTAAGGTTACTTATCTTATAAGCTATAGTATTTATAATAGATAGCTTATTAACTTTATTAACTTTATTAGTAATATATAGTAATTTATACTATTAATTAAAGCTAGTAAAGTTATATTTACTATACTTATAGTACTACTATATAAGTAAAAAAGTCTTTATTAACCTTTATATAGTACTAATAAGGGATTTAAGTATACTTTTCTCTTTATACTACTTTTTTAGTATATACTAAATAACTACTAAGCTTAATAAAGAGCTCTATAGTTATTAAAGGGCTACATTAGTACTGCCTTTATAGCCCTATTGTTACCTTTTAACTTTAAAAAACTACCCTATAAAATCTTATACCTTTAGTAACTGCGCTATAGGTAACTACTCTCTAGGCCACAGGGGTAATAACAATAGCACTTTAGTCTTTTTTACTAAATATATTAATAATAAGTTAATTAATAAAGTAATAAGTATATATTAATACTATTAAATTAAAAATAGCTACTATTATAGAGGTAATTAATACTACTATTATATAAAAGGGCTAACTTCTTTACTACTAAAGAATAAATTAACTACTATATTACTAGTAGAGTTATTTATAGTTAATAAAGATAGTTTACTAGTAGGATTTTTACCTTTTTTAAATTCTACTATAAAAAGTAAATTACTTATAACTTTACTTTATATAAGTAAATTATTTTTTTTATTAGCTACTAAGTAACTATAACTACAAGGCCTAGTAGTAGATCTTTTATAGTTATATTTACTTTATAATAAAGTATTATATTTTACTAGGCTTTAAGATTATAAGTAAGTAACTTATAGTAGACTTTAGTAATAACTAAACACTAGTTAGTACTATTACTTACCTTTATATTATTATAGTAACTTATATAATCTATATACTTATAATACTTTATTAGATTATACTATAAATCCCTCTTTATATTCCTTTCTTAGTTAATTTTATTTCTTATTAAATTTATTACTATTTTTCTTAAATTAATATATAATAATTAGCTATTATAATCTAGTTATTTACTATAGTTAATTAGTTTACTATAGTTAATTAGCTTATTATAGTTAATTAGCTTACTATAGTTAGGTTATTTACTATAGTTAGGTTACTTACTTTTTAACTTTATAGTAGATTATAGTGTACTAAATACTAATATAACTAAACTAGTAAAGTATATAAGATCTATACTAAAGAAGATCTCTTAAGTCTTATAGCTAAGGTTACTTAGTTATTAGCTAAATTTAAACTATAGTAAAGTTAGCTATTTTCTATTTATTTTACTAAAGTTATTACTATAATAAATATTATTAACTCTCTATATAGTATACTACTTTTTACTAAACTTTACTATTATTTATAACTTTAAAAGCTAGTATTACTTAGTAAGTTACTTTTAAAGGTAATCCTTTATATCCTTTAAGATTTACTTCTTTTACCTTAACCTAATTATTATACTTACTATTAACTAACTTATTAATTACTATACTATCTAAAAAGGCTAAATTTATAGTATAGATTTAATACTATTAAATTAAAGGTTAAAAGTAAAGTATATTATTATATTAGTTAGTAATAAAGTAGTTACTATAATAACTACTTACTATTACTATAGTAATAGTAATAAAGTTTATAATAAGGTATTAAATAGATTTAGTATAAATAGTACTTATTATATAGGCTCTTTATTATTATAAGTAGACTTATTACTATTATTATTATTACTATTACTAACTTTTTTTTCTTTATTATTAATAGTTACCTAGGTTACTATTAACTTTTATAGTATTTTAATAATTATTATTAACTTTTTTACTACTACTATAGCTATTACTAACTTCTTTATTACTACTATAGCTACTACTAACTTTTTTAGTATTTTAATAATTATTATTAATTTTATTAACTTTACTACTAGTACTAGTGCTATTACTATAGGGCACTTAATTACTATATATAATAATCCTTTATAAGTAGCCTTATAGACTTAAGTACTATTAGCTAGTAGTACTAGTAATACCTTTTTACTACTAGGGGTAGTAACCCCTTTCTTTAGTACTATTATTTAATAATAGTAGTAATAATAATAGTAATAAGCTTATTAATTAAAGCTATTTATACTATAGTATCTATATAAAAATCTATAAATCTATAGGTAAGTAGTAGCTACTTAGCAAAGTAACCCCCCTGTGTAACCCTAACTAGGGTAGTTGTAATAGTGTTTCTAACGCACGGACTAAAAAGTAGGTTTTGGACGCTGCCAACGCAACAGACTGTAAACCCACTGAACCCACTGAAGCGGCCCACCCACAGTGCTCTTCCACTGATCCCACTGAACCTGCCCACCCAAAGGTGTTGTCTCTGTATCCGTACACCCAAGCCCTTTTCATCATTGGTACAAACTTTGGCATCTTCAGCGTGCTATTGTGGGAGAAGCCAAGTAGGAGGGGTCTGTCAAGTTCGAGCCTTGAGGTTGTCGTCGGCCTGCAATGGAGTTTTGGGGCTGATAAATGTGCTCCTGCTCCTGACTCGTCGCCTCGCGCTGCTTCAGAGAATAATAGGCGAGGGGGCGGAAACATGGAGGTCGCAACGGCGCAGCTTACGTGATACTGGGATGCGCGCGCCGCACCTGGCCATATTGCGATGACTTGCTTGCATATTGAAAAAGAAGAAGGAGAAAAAAAAAACTTTGTTCCATAGCATTTGATGCATGCACGCAGCACGGGTATGTTATCCGCAACCCTGTCATTCTTTTTAGCTGCTCTTCTCGCTATTGAAAGAAAACCAGCTTCCGGCCGTCCTCACCAGCCATCACAGACACAATGGTTGCAATGAGATCGTCACCTCCACAAACACCGACAGAGAATTCAGAAAAGGGCTTGGCCTCTCCTTCAATCAGGTCGATTCTTCGACTTCACCCCCAAGAGCGTCTCATCGTGAAGCCTCTGCACTGGACGGCGCGACACGTTGACTCGCTGGGCTGCAACTTCATCCACAACACATCGCTGGCTTCCTCATGGCGTCTTCCTCCTCCACTGGCGCCCGATGGGAAGCTTGATCCCGGCACCATCATTGCAAACGCCCCAACCAGTGCCAATGCCGACGCCTCATCTCCCACAGTTGTACCTCAGCGTCAACCGTTGTCCCCCATCGATCGGTTCGTCATAACTCTGGCCCGAGGCCATGCTTATTGCGCTTGCCTAGTCTCAGCAGCGTCAATACGCTCGAGCTCGTCTGCTCCCTACGACGCAAAGCTTCTAGGTATGTCGCCTGTGCTGTGCACGCACCTATCCCTCGCACATGGCTTACCCCCGGTTAAAGCGCATCGCAGGTTCATGCCCTCGTGAGCGATGACAAGAAGAGGCCACACATTGTCCTATACACTGCCTGCCGATATCCCTGCCGTCTTCCTCGACAGACTTGCACGTCCACACAAGTGCCTCCGCGCCGCCTGCGATTTCATTGTCTACTTGATCGACATTCCTTTTCAACCGTACTCGTTATTTCCGGAACGGCTAACAAACGCGGTGGCTCCTTCGACTCGAAAGTGTTCCCGGGACTCTGACCCATGGGACGAGGACACAAGGGCTAGCAAGCGCAACAAGATGTCACAGCGATAAGAGACAGAGACAGGGCATGAAACCCCGGCCTGATGGCTGGAACGGCGGATACGACATGCATAAATGGCACAAAATGACGTTTACGGTTAAACTGGCTTTGTAGTTTATTTGCCGTCATACAGCGCCAAGGAGATTCGTCACCTAGAAGGCCCAACCGTGAATCGCGTGTCCCAGATCATGTCTCTCACGGTCGACTCTACAAAATATCGCGGCGGTCGCGCAAACCACCCATGGCCAAGAAGCCCAAGGTGTAGATAGACGCATCAACTGACCTTGGGCGTCGTCAATCGAGGATTTCCCCAACTTTGCAAGATGTGCGCCAATCTGTTCCGTTCCGGTTTAGAGGCTGGTCAACCAAAACCAACCCAACCCAACCAGCCTCCGTCTGTCAGATCGTGTCTGGGCGACGCGCTTCCTTCGCCATGGTGCTGGCCCAGAGCGCTTGGATGGATGGGAACAACGATTGGGGAGCTATTTGCCATGTGACGCTCGTCTCTGGAATATCGACAGCGCCACTCGTGGTGGCTGAGACGAGATGATGTCTCGAGACACGTCCTCTTGGTGCCCCATTCTCGTGTTGGTTGACGAGAGCGACTTACGCTGGCTAATTCTTCATGCCGACAAACAGCTCGACGCTCTGGTGGTCTGGGTCAAGGAGTTTGCGCTTGGTAAGACGTCACCAAGAAGATGCTGCTGCCGTCTGCTACTAATACGCTTTCTTGTCGCTTATAATTCCCGCCAACATCTTCGCAATTTGTCCCAGGTAAACGAGCCAACATGGCATGCCGTCCAATCGCAGCGCGCCCAAACACTGCCCGCGGTCATGCTCATCTGCGACCAGGTCGATGACCAGGCTGACGCTCCGGGACATTGACCTTGCCGAGGACGTCGTGAAGACCGGCCGGTACACTACATGCCAGCGACAACGGCGGGGGCCAAGATAAGTGGTTGATAGTAGACGAGGCCATCCCCAATGCGATGTACTCGGCAGAGAAGGCACTATTGGTGGGCGACCCGTCGACACGGTTCCGACCGCCATTGACTTGGGCGGCAAACTTGTCGGACAAGTTCTCCTGGCCCAGGCAGCACGTCTAACAGGCACCATGTGGCCAACTCCCACGACCTCATCCGGTAACTGACGGGAGAGCCGCCAAAAGAGAAGCCTACAGGAGCGGGAGGAACAGTTGTTGCCTAGAACAGCTTGGATGAGCTGCTCAAAGGCATCGGTCACCTCACTGATCTTGACGACATGGACGAAGATGGCCACCGCGTAGATACCGATGACGGCCCACATCACCTCGAAGGTTCGGCCCCAGGTTATCAGCGTTCTCAATCACCGATAGACAGACTAGCCTAGCACGGTCGGATGTTGGGCAGTTTGATCGGGGCAGCCATCATTGTATGCCAGGCCAGTGCAGTCCTTGACACAGCCACTCAGGTGGTGGTGGTGGTGGTGGTGTTCCTTTCGGCCAAGCCGTTCCACAAGGTCGATGACGAAGACGAAAACATGCCAAAAACCCCAAGGCCGACATCGATATCATCAGAGCCGATTCCACCAACATCCCCTCTGTTTCTTGTCTGCGGTGGCTCCCTCAGAGCTCCGAAGTCCCGACTCCGATCAGCCTAGACCAAGAGACGATCAGTAGAAGGGTAAAAGGTTCCGCACAAGCTTAAACTAAACGCCATCGTTAGTTAAATCTATTTTCTATAACTTACAAGGAAGCAAGAAGAACTAAGGCTAATACTAATTTGGGCTGTATATATAGATTACGACTGGAATGAGTGGTCTAGTGGATATTTATGTATGGGCGCGACAGCTTTAGCGGTTTAAGTATGTCTACTATGACCCTTATGGTATTATTACTAATGACATGCTTACCTCTGCAAAGCTCCTGGTGCTGGACGTATAGAAGAGGGACTTGTTGGACGAGGATAATAAGCCTCCTAACTGGGTAAACGACTGGAGCCTGAAAGGCTATGTTTCTGGTCATTAGGCAAGGAACATGAAGGTGGCTCTTGAAAAGGCGCAGGAGGCTAATGGAGCAGATGCAGCTGGACAGGACTAGGACTATGACTACGATGATGATCCTTACTAACGAGCCGTGGCCACAAGACAAGAGAAGGGAAAAGACAAGGACAAAGGTGTTAATAAAGCCCCTGTGACAATGTAAATAGGCCTTGATTATGAACGTTATGACTACGACGGCAACGCAGTAAGTAGGACGACTGTTGTAATGAGCGGCCTGCCTATATCCTCCTATCCTCTGACTATACTGTCTGTATTTGTTAATTCTGGAGCCTTTTATGTATTGCCTATGATAGCCTCTTAGATAGATACAATAGACGCCTTGCCTGGAGCCTTTCTGGGAATGGCACTGGGTAGTGACGCCTAAGGCTTTGTTACTGACATGGGTATGCTTTCTTCTGCTTTAGTTATGTTTGATTCTCTATATCTCTCTTGACCCTGACTGATTGTTTCTGTAGGTGGACTGGTGGGATGAAATTAAGCCTTATCTTATTAGCAAACAGCAGCCTAGGCCTAGGTCTAAGTTTAGACCTAGCCCTGGCCTTGGCCCTATGATTCTGTGCGTGTGCAGCTGGATGACTAGGGCCTGGAGCTGTGGCAATACTTTCGGCGGCTGCGCATTATGGGCAAGATCAGGTGGGTGGACAAGAGCCGCCAGAGCTGGTGATGACCAAGGTGGACTGGTGTGTGTGTGTGTGTGTCTGTCTGTCTGTCTGTGTCTGTGTTTACCTTTGGGCTCTTCTTGCTGGCACAGTAACTATGTAGGACAGGATTATGGCGTGGCCAGGTTGGCAAGATATTGAGATAAACATGAATAAAAATGACCTGCGGTTGGACTGTCTTCTGGCTGTTGCGCTGTTGTAAATGAAGCCTTTGGTTTCCTTTGTGTTGAGGGAGGTTGTTGTTGGCAAGGGGAGGAGAGGATAAATCCTTGACCTCTCTTGTATCTCTGTTTGCCTCTACGCTAGTCTAGAGTTTGTATTACTATTTTATGAGTCTCTATTCTATAGTGATTCTAAAATGATAGACTATTATGCGTAAATGCCTAATCCTGATACTATGTCTGACTGTAAGATGTTAATTTAATAACAGAAGGTAACTAAGATATGCTGATGTAATCTATTAGTTGATAGTAGCCTTAATCTGTCTACTACTACAGTACTGCGCTTCTGAGTTCTCTTGCTGATAGGAAGCCCTGCTGTATAACTACACCTCTGCTTTTACCCTGACTAGAATATAATTAATCTATTATTTAACTACTGTAATGCTGACAAGATGATACCTTCCTCTTTAGATCTATAAGACTATAATAATAATATATATAGGGAAGATAAAGAGGAAGAGTAAGAATATAAGGTAGAAGGATAGAATAAAGAAGGATAGAAGGAAGAAGAATAGATGGAAGAAGGATAGAAGGATGTTGATGAGGAGGGGGAGGAAGATATTTTCCTCTACTTTAGGCCTAGACAAAGGATCCTCTGGCCTAATGTGCTGTTGTTGCAACATTGTCTTTGGCCTACCCTTATTATAGATTTTGATATAGTTAATCTTAGTAGCTATTGTAATGTTGACGTAGATAAGAATCCTAGGAGACATAGATCTAGTAAATATATATCTGTCTTGTCCTTGTTGTCCTTGCTGTTCTCGTTAGGAGATGTAAATGTCGTTAGCCACTGGTGGTAAGCTATTGCTAGGGGCTATGGCATTGCTATAGCCCTTGTTGCTGTTCTGGTTATGGTTTTGGCGGCGGCGGCAGCAATATAGGTGGTCTTCTTTTTATAGTATTACTGCTTTGTGGTTCTTATTCTAGTATTTAATGTAGATAAAGCGCTATTAGAGGTTATGCTACTTTATAAGATAGTCCTAGAGCTCTTTAAGCTCTACGCAGGTAGTTGTCTCCCCCTTATCTTCCCCTTTAATATCCAAGGGAGCTACTAAATCACTAAGGACGTTGTGCGTGCGCAGGAAACGGAGCTCTGTTCCCTTTGCCTTGAAGCTAAGCACTGCTATCACGCCTACGTCGCGGAAACGTGTTAATAGGCCAGGGCGTCTGCTAGTGACGCTAGCTAAGGTTTGGAAGAGCTTTTCGTCCATGTAGGCGTAGCCTTTGACATCCTGCGATATGCTTTTCCAACCTGATAACAACGTCAACATAAACAAAAACACTATTAGGCCAGTAGTAGAGGATGCCCTTGTGTAGATACTAGCTAACCTACGTTAAGAGTATATTGTCTAGGAGGCAGAGGTTAAGTGTGTAGTTAAGAACCTCTTTAAAGCTTATGCCTTAGAGTATAAGCTACTAGTAATAGTCGTTAGGGATTAAGGATAATAACAATAACAAGAAGAAGAAGACAGTAGTGGTAGTATACCTACTAAGCTAGGCCCTCTCTAAGACGTAATCCTTGTAGCCCTCTATAATATAACATAAGGCTAAAATAACCTTCCCTCCTTTTTACCTATCACGTTTTAGAACTGTTAGTTCCTAAGTGTGCACTACACCTATTATTTTAACATAATAAATTACTTGCGTAAGCACTCCTTTTTCCCTTATGCTGGCCCCTGATAGGCTAGCTCTGCTGCCCCTAGCGACACTACGTCCTAGGATACAGCCACTAGCAGTAGCTATATTTACTATATTAAGCTTAGTAATAAGCAAAGGTTTACTAATAAAGCATAAAAGATTTATAGTCCCCTTTAGCCTAATAACTATAATAAATATCTTATTACTAAAGGATTTTATATAAATAATATAGACTCTGAAAAAAAGGCTTAGTATTAATATATTACTATATAGACTAATAATAAATAAAACTTAGAACCCTAAGGATAAGCTAAATAAAATTATAGTACTTAATAATAGCTATAGATATATAGTAAATACCCTTATTAATAACTTATAATAGATACTTTAATAAGTATAGGCTAAAAGATACTACTAAACTATAGTTAACTACTTTATAAACCTATTAATTAATACCTTTAAAAGAAATAAAAAGTTAGTAAAGCTAAAGCCTATAGTAACTAAGTAAATATAGCCCTTTATTTACTAGCTAGTAGTAGAACACTATATATAGGCCTAGTTAAGAGGCCTAGCTATAATAAATATAAAGAAAGCTTATAATAAAAGACCTCTTTAGGGTATAAAAGATATATAAAGAAGATCTTAGTAGTATAGTATTAACTACTATATCCTTATTTAAATACTTAATAACTAGGTTTTACTTTTTATTATTTATAGAGATATTACTTAAATCTATAAGATATAAGTTATAAATATTAAAAAAATAACTAAAATATTAACTAGTTTTATAGTTACCCTAAGTAGTAATAAAATAAAATAAGCTATACTTACTAGCTACTCTTAGTTATTTTAATACCTTAGTATAACTACTATTAATAGTCCCTAGGCCTAGACGTTCTATAAAGTTAGAGAAGTCCTAGTAAAGATATATAACTATAATAGTAATATAGTCTTAGTAATAAAAAAGATAGTAGCTACTAAGGTTACTATTACTATAAAATAAAAGCTATAGTAATACTATATTATAAAAGATATAAAAAACTAATAACACTAGACCTAAATAATAGTACTTTAGGAATATACTAAACCTTTTTAGTTATTTAATAGCCTAATCTTTATATAACTTAAAAATAAATTTAAACTTATTTAGTATAGTATTTACTTTAATTAGTATAAGGTATAACTATATATTAAGTAATAGCTATATAAAATATATAGTACCTTCAAAAATAAATATAATAATACTTAATATATAAAGTTAGTTTAATATACTAACTATAAAGAACTATACTAAAGTATTTATAAGAACTACTTACTTTAGCCTAAATAAAAGAATTAGGCTATTATATACTTTATAAAGGTATAATAATAATATATTTAGAGGCAGAAGCTATAGCTTTATAAGGTAGGCTAAAAAGAAGGCTAATAGACATAGGCCCTAATTAAAGTAACTCTAGAAAGCCTAGGACTAGATAGGGAGAACTAGCGCAAGGCTAAACTTAACTATAGACAAAAGGTCTAGGCCTTTAATAAGATTATTAATAAGGTAATAAAGAATACCTTAGAAAGTAAAATAATACTAAAGCTTATTAAGCTAGGTACATTAGTACTATTATTATTACTATAATAATAGAATAAATTAGGATTTTATATATTAATATAAGGAGATTAAGACTAACTTATAATATTACCTTTATATTTACTAACTAAGAAAACGTTAATATTATTATAATATAAGAGCCCTAGT